ACAAAGAGCCAGACAGCGAGTGTTTTTGGCTCTGCAGGCCACACGGACTCGGTCTCAACTCATCAGCTCCGCCATAGACTATAGGAATGGGCCCGGCACGCTTCCCACAAAACTTCCATTTCTAAAAACCAGCAGCAGGCTGGATTCAGTCCATGGGGCCAGAGTTGCCAACCCCTGCTTTAGACCAAGTTTACTAACCAGAAAGTAGGTAATTTCCTTATTTAACAAATCAATCTTTGCTATCACTTGGAGGTTGTAGAGGTCTCCTTGTAACATATTATATGGATTTTCTGCCTTCCTAGAGTCGTATTTATTGTGTGATGGCATTCTGTTTCCTCCTGTCCCCAGATCCACATCCACCCACACTGTGTTCACGGTGGTCTGAGGACCACCTGCTCTCCCCACTTCTCCCCTCTCCTATCTATCTATCTATCTATCTATCTATCTATTACCTATCATCTCCATTAGTTTCTTACCTTTTAAAAAATACTGTTTAGGGGCACCTGGGTGGCTCAGTGGGTTAAAGCCTCTGCCTTCAGCTCAGGTCATGATCCCAGGGTCCTGGGATCGAGCCCCGCATCGGGCTCTCTGCTCAGCAGGGAGCCTGCTTCCCCCTCTCTCTGCCTGCCTCTCTGCCTCCTTGAGATCTCTCTCTGTCAAATAAATAAATAAATAAAATCTTTAAAAAACAATAAAAAAAACTGTTTATATACCAATAAAACAAAGTTCCCTGTGCCCTCACCACCATTATAAAAGGGACAGTGGAGGCTAGTTCAATTTCATGGCTTTCCCTTCAGGCGCCGGTTGCAGTATGGCCAGATGCTGATTACATAATCCCACAAGCCTCAGTTTCCTCATCTGCAAAATGGGAACAAATCAATGCTTGCCCCATACAAGTGCTTAGAAGAGTGATTGACATGATAAGCGCTTAATATACATTAGCTGCCATTAGATCACGATGCAACTTTCGACAATACTGTAGAGGAAGGTATACAGTCGAGCGGTCAAACCACCTCCCAAAGAGTAACTACTGTCAACCTCGAGGGCGATGCTGTCCAGTTTTGTTTCCTAGGCATTTATTTTTAGTTTTTAGATAATGGTGATCGCTCCTGAGTTATTTTTTTAACACTTTATTTTTTAAGATTTATTTGAGATAGAGAGAGAGATTGCCCATGTGTGCATGGGGGCGGGGGAGGGACAGAGGGAGAGAGCCTTCAAGCAGACTCCCCACTGAGCACGCAGCCTGATACAGGGCTCCATCCCACCACCCTGTGAACATGACCTGAGCCGAATTCAAGAGTCAGACACTTAACGGACGGAGCCACCCAGACGCCCCTAAGATTTTAAGTCATCTCTACAACCAACACGGGGCTCGAACTCACAACCCCGAGATCAAGAGTCACATGCTCTACAGACCGAGCCAGACAGGCACCCCAATCCCTGAGTTATTTTCAGTGGTCTTCTTGAACATGGAAAAGGGCAGATAGCCCAGTGACGGTGGAAGACAGGCCACCCAGGAAGGAAAGGAATCCTTCTTTCCTCCTCTGCTGTGATTCCCAGTGCTACGGAAGAGAATTATCAGAGCTCCAGACAGCTGTTCCTGGTGCGCTAGGATGCAGCATGTCTGAGCTGGCCTGGCAGAAGTCACAGGTTCTGTCACCTCCTGGGGGTGGACTGAAATCCTGAGGGGTCCTGGGGTCCCAAGAGACATGAGAACTCAAGGACTGGCTATGGGAAAACAGACTCAGCTTTCAAACTTCACCCCACCGCTCCTGCCCACCTCCTCCCTTTGGACTTGGGTCCAAAGATGGTGTGTAGATGGTCTATGACTCTCCTTTCCCACCTTCTATTTGAGGAGGAGGAGGAGGAGGAGGAGGTTGCTAATGAAAACAAGCAGGTAGCCCACGACAGGGCACCTGGAGCCCAAGTTTCTATAGAAACCAAGTCATTCCTTCACCTTCCAACACATTTCCCTCGTCTCCTGACAAGACTCTCTCCTTGGAGACGTGGACAGCTCTGACATCCATCCTACAACTGTCCCCTCCGGCCAACCAGCAAACATCGCCTGATGTGCACCTCGTAGGAAGAGCCAGCAGGTAGCTCATGTGAAGTCTGTGCAGCCATTACCCAGGCTGGTCCTCGTATGAACCGTGCGGGGTAACAACAGTCACCCGAGTTTCAGACAGGGAAGTCTAGCATGTGGTTAGCCATAGCAGCTTTGCACTCATCTTACACACAGACGGGGTGGCTTAACCGCCGGGAATTCATGGTCTCACAGTTCTGGAGACCCGAAGTCCAAAATCAAGGTGTCCTCAGGGCTGGTTCCTTCTGAGGGTTGTGAGTGACAGATCTGTTCTGGTCTCTGCCATTGTCTTGTAGACGGCCATCTTCTCCTGTGTCTCTGCCCATCATCTCCCCTGTGTGTCTGTCTCTGGGTCCTAGTCCCCCCACCCCAACTTTTTTTTTATAAGGTCACCAGTCATACTGGATTAGGGCCCCGTCAATGACCTCACTTCAACTTGACTCCCTCTGTAAAGAGCCAATCCCCAAAGAGGTCACACCCTGAGGTACTGGGGGTCAGGCCGCCATCTTTTTTGAGGGGCCACAGTTCAGCCCATAACGGGCTCTCGAGTCGCACAGGCCTGAACGGGTATCCTACTCTATCACTTACTGGCCTCATCTTCCGTGTGGGCTTCTGCGTGAGGACTGCATGAAATGTTTGGCACTTCCCGTGGTGCTTAGTCAGCCCTCGTTACTACTGATGAGGGAGGCAGATGCTGGGGATTCTCCACCTCAGCTCTCAGGCCATCTGACTTTCCCCGTGGCTGTGGCACATGCAGACGCAACACCTGGACGAGAACCTGCCCCTCCCGCCCACCACCCCATTCTCTGCCTGGCGATTTCTTGGTGCTACTGAAGCTTGCTCGGCCCACACAGGACAGTCCTAAAGTGCCAAACATTTCACGTCTCCAGGGGCAACCCTCAGGCCCTGAAACATAAGCACCGGGAGTTAAAATACCCCAGCTTCCCTGTCATGATCATTCTCAAGTGTATTCTCCAGGGTCCCCGGCATGGCTGCGCCCCCAGCTGCCCAGTGCTAGCCCAGGGAGCCTTCGTCTGCTTTTCTCCTTTCTCTGACTTGTTCTTCCATTTAATGCTTCCTGGGGTCCCCTTCCCGGTAAATAAGCAGCACCCAAGTTCTTGTCTCAAGGTCTGCTTTCGAGGTACCCTGAGATAACGAGGAGAGAGTAGCTCAGAGAAGTTACATGGCTTGTGCAAGGATACAAGGTTAGCGGGGAGGTGAGTCCACGATTTGAACCACGGATTCTTTGGCTCCAGAGCCCATGGGCTCCGCCACTGGTATTCCCTCCTCCCTAGTGCCCAATGCCTGCTATGTTCCTATCCCCTCATTCTCTTTGTTCTCTCGTGCTTTTATCCTCTTCTTTTTTAAAAAAAATTTTTTTTAAAGATTTTATTTGTTTATTTGACAGAGAGATTGAGATCACAAGTAGGCAGAGAGGCAGGCAGGGGCGGGGGGAGCAGGCTCCCCGCTAAGCAGAGCCTGACACAGGGCTCGATCCCAGGACCCTGAGATCATGATCTGAGCCGAAGGCAGAGGCTTAACCCACTGAGCCACCCAGGCGCCCCTTTTATTCTCTTCTGTACAACCATGATAAGGAAGTCATTCTGTAGAAAAGGAAAATGGCTTCCTTCTTTTTCTCTTGAGAAACCTAACCTAACCTAGCCCTCCTGCCATCCCCCTTGACCTCCACACCATATCAGGGCTCTGAGTCATTGGGAAGGTTTGTTATGCAGCAGTGGTAACAGAAACACCTTGCACTCTTCATGCCCCAGGTTCAGGAAGAAAAAGATACTCAAATGCATGGCACAAATAAATAATCTTTAATTTCAATAAATAGCTCCCTGTTATACCAGACAAGAGGCTGTGGGAAAGATACAGAAGCATCCAACAGGGAGAGATATATTCTAACTACACTAATTCCTTAGCATGAGAAAAATGACTTTGGTTCACACACAAACACAGAGAGATGCTCAGAGTATGACAAGGAAGGAGTCCTTTTGGATGGGAGTGTGGTGGCCATTTTAATCCAGGTAACTGCTTTTGCAAGTCTTCCATGTGCCACAATCACCATGAATCAGTCAAAAAAGGTTACTTTTGCTCTATCGTATTCTATTTACTTGACATACACACATGCTGTTATTGAAGGTGGGGCCTTGCCAGACAGGAGGAAATCAGGTGAAATTTCACTGGGGGGGAGCAGAGAGAAGGGAATGCTCAGGACTGAGGTCCTGCTGACCACCTTGCTCACTGGGAGGACACACAGGGACACACATGAGAATATTCCCCATGGGGAGGGTGGTTCTTAGGAATAAGCTAACACAAGGACAAATTCAGTCAAGCCAGGGAGGTTTCTTATACTGGAATATTTTTTGAGGCCATTTGGTTTCTCCAAATAGTCTGATCTACCACGTCCACTAAAGAGAAGACAAAGTACTTACACTTTTGGGGAAAGGTATCAGGTTTGAAGAACCCCAGGGGAGAGGAGCCCGTTCAGAAGCCACCCAATCGGCTGGTATGTCTTTTGGGTGTGGGCGTTGGGCCTCCCACACACTGGCCAAGCTCCTGGAGAGTTTCATCTCGATGGAGGCTGGCACCCTTGGGGAGGCCCTTTCTCTGGCCTGAGGGTTTAAAGTGCATTTGGGGGAGGGGCATCAACAGTAGCAAGCACTGTCAGTAAGTCTCACAGCAGAGCCCACTCAGCTCATGACATAGAGATGGAGTTTCCAGAAAGTTCTCAGGCTTTGCTCATTGAGGGCAACCATTTTGTGTTCAATTTTGTGTTCAATAGTCAGCTTCCTCTCAGTTCTGAGAGGATTTAGTGTGTGTGTGTGTGTGTGTGTGTGTGTGTGTGTGTGTGTTGTGTGGATGTCATAGGCATGTGACACGTTTTCTTTCTGTCTTAAATTTTCTTTCTTTCTTTCTTTTTTTTTTTTTTTTTAAACAAATGAAAGCTGCTTTTGCCGCAGCCCTCAGGTCACCTCCAGCGAGGCAGGAGACACGCGGTCACACTCGGCCCGGGACCTCAGGCTGTGCCACTGCTCCACAGCCGTGCGGTGAGTGTTTAGCATCCGCCGCCAGTGGTTGGATTCGGAGGGGCCCGAAGAGTACTGGCCGATGACAATCCTTCCGATGAAGTCATTGCTGCTCTTCATGTTGTGGCCAAACACTGGGGAGCCAGAGGGACGAGGGAGGCGGGGAGGAGGTCAGAGAAGGAGAGAAACGGAACAGGGAGGCGGGAATAAGACAGAGGTCGTTAGTCTACTCATTCCTCAACTGCAGACACTGGGCTCGTTGCTTTTAGGACATCATCTGTTTCCTCTCATGGTAAGAATGCCCCACTTCCCTCATCTCATGCGCCCGTAAGTCCCTTCACTCCAGGTATACCAGATGGTCGGCCATTCCTCACCACGCCAGGCACATTCCCGCCTCCTGGCCTCTGCACTGACTGTTCCTGCTGCCAGACAGCTGCGTCCCCCACAACAGACAACTTTAAACTTACGGCCATTGCCCTACCATGCTCTGTACAGAGCACTACAGCTGGGGAGTTCTACGGGGACAGCCAGCCATCACAGAGTCTGGTTGAGTAGTTAACCTGGGGTTTCTAAATGGCGGCCACCATGGACGTTCCTTGTCACAGGAACTGTCCTGGGCACAATGCTGAGCAGCACCTCCAGCCTCTAAGTACTCGATGCCATGAGCATCCCCCTCACCAGCTGTCACAATCCAAAATGTCTCCAGATGGGGCCCAATGTCCCCTGAAAGGCCAGTTTATGCTGGAGAAGAGCCACTAGGTGAAGCCATGGGCCACAGGCCAGACATCCTCGGTGACCATTAGGCTAGCTCTGTGACCTGAGACAAGGGAAGGAATCTCCCTGAGACTCAGTTTCCTCCTACATTAAAGAGGACTCTTGCCAGTACTTTACTTCAACTGTCACTGTGAGATTTTTGAGGAGACAATTTGTGTAATGTCTCAGCACATGGTACCTAGATAAGCACTCAGTGAAGGTTATACTGCGATTCTGACCCCAAATTTCTGTCTGGTGGAGCCTTTTATAAAAGAGGCTTTATTTTTCCTCTGTTCCAGGCAATGGAGGCAAGTTCCTGAGAGAAACGGCCATGGCGATTTCTTCTACCCCTTGTCGTACTGCGTGTCTCTTTGGAAGGCTTCTCTGTTAATTCCGATGCAAGCTTAATTTGTGTCTTTCAAGCCTAATGAGATGGTTAGCTTGATTTATCTTCCCAGCCAAGTTCTGCCTAATTCTTTATCTGCGTGTGGGTAGTCCGGGCATGCCATCTCGCTAACAGGAAAGCAGGCTGCGTCTGTGTTATAAATGAAGGACTGCAGAATGGGAAATATCACAGATTCACCCAGCATGAGCCGAGCAAAAGCGGGCTGGATCCCAGGAGGGAAGCCGATTATCAAATAAACCAGCTAAAATATGCAGCCAAAAACAGAGTTTGAATGCTAATGAGCCTCTATTCTCCCCCATGGGGCTCACATCAAGAATTCTAAATGATAAAAATGGGGGAGGGGGTGAATGGGGGGGGAGAAAAGAAAAGTGGAAAAAAAAAGCAAAACCCCAAAAAGACCCAGGGTGAACAAGACTAGCCTGTACCAATCAAGCCCGCTACCACTCTGGTGTCCAGTACCTGTCAACAACGTGGAAAAAAATTGGACCGTGTATAGTTTTTGTAACTTGGTGAAGTGTTTGGTACGCACAGGGGGACCTTGTTTACATGAAGATCCCTTAATAGAAGGGGGAAACTAGGACAGGAATCTTCCCTTAATAAAGAACATTACTAAGGAGCTCTCTGAAGCATTCCAAGTTTTGGGGGGTTTTTTTTGGAAGATTTTATTTATTTATTCATTTGTCAGAGAGAGAGAGAGAGAAAGAGGACACAAGTAGGGAGAAGGGCAGGCAGAGGGAGAAGCAGGCTCCCCACTGAGCAGGGAGCCTGATGTGGGGCTCCATCCCAGAACCCTGGGATCATGACCTGAGTTGAAGGCAGATACAACCGACTGAGCCACCCAGGCATCCCTTGAGGTTTTTTTTTTTTTAAAGGTAACACTCAGGTTTGTTTTGAACGACGCCTAGTGGGCAGTATAAGGTTTGAAAACAAGTTAGATGAAAATAAGTTACTGGAGTCCCCTTCTCTGTGGGCCTTGGTAAAGCAAGATCCTAGCAGGAGGCCATTCCAGGCTCTGTTTGGTGTTCTTCCTTGGGGGCAAAATGTTCTATCTTCCTATGCCTCTCCAAAGCTCAGAAATGAAAATGCAGAAACATCCTTAGAGATGAGTGTACTTTCCCCTTGGGAAAAAGGTTTTAGGAAAGGAAATCTCAAACACTCTCATGTATTGTTGGTGTAAGAGGAAGCTGGTTCAACTTTTAGGAGAGGTTCACAGTAGCTACTCAAAATAAAAATGTTGTAACTTGTGATCCAGCAATTCTATTTCTAGGAATTTATCGCATAGAATTATCTGTACAAATGGACAAAGATATACATACAAGGATATTCTCTGAATATTAGATATTGGATAATATCTGGGTATTAGAGCCTCTAAGCTAAATCTGGTCCACTACCTGTGTTTTGTAAATGAAGTTTATTGGAACTCAGTCCAACCCATTTATTAACACAATGTCTACGGTTGCTATTACACTACAGAAGCAGAGTTGAATAGGTGCAAAAGAGACTGTGTGGCCCACAAAGCTGAAACTATTTTCTGTCTGGCGCTTTATGGAAAAGTTTGCCAACTCCTGCCCTAGAACATTGTGAGAATGAAAAATGTAAATAACAAAAAGTGTCCACAAAGAAGTGCACCTGTGGCCGTGGTGCCCTGTCTGCTCCCTCAGCCCACCCTAGAGGCTATCCCCCCCAGCTCTCAAGCACCCAGAGCCCTCGCCAGTCTACACCAGCTATGCCTTATGGTGGAGTCTTTGGGCCACTCAACAGCAGTTTGGCCACTGCAGGGGATGGAGACTAGAGTCAGCCACTTGGACGCCTACAGGACAGATCACCTGATCAATATCCGATGCCAACGCTTGTGTGAACCTCCCTAGATGGCAATCCTTCAAGTGTGTCTCCCCACATCATTCCTGGGACAATGAAGTGCTGTCCTCACAACTCCACTGGGAGAGGGCAACTGGAAACTCATTACCTGTTCTCTCCTGCACTCTGCGCTCTGTGCCTCTTTCCTTTGCTGATCTTGGTCTGTTTCCTTTTTCTGTAATAAACTGTAACCATGAGTGTAATGGCTTAGCTAAGTCTGTGAGTCCTTCTAATGAATCACTGAACTTGACGGTCTCGGGGATCTTCTAGGCTGCAGTGACCCACTCATCAAACATCCCCGATTGGCTTGCCTCCCTCTTCCATTCTCTTAGCAGTACTTCCTGGGGTGACCTCCTTGGTAGCCTACCTGAACCCAAGTCATTGTCTTAGGATCAGCTTTGGGACGCATCCAGACAAAGACTGGCGGAAACTAATTAAATAGTTTCTGATGTAATAATACCATGGAAACCAATGTTGCTGTCAAACGAGATAGATCTATATATATATATGAAATAGAAAAATCTCCAAGACATATTGCTAGGAGACAAAAGCAAGTTGCAAAATAGTATATATAAACACAATCTCTTTTTTGTTAAAAAAAAAAAAAAGTTAATATATAGAATAGAAAACTATCTGGAGGAACTTCACCAAACTGTTAAGAATGGCTCTCTCTAGGGAGGGGAAACAGGGAACTTTCTGCGTTTGGTATTATGCAAGTATGGTTTGCACTTCTTACAGCACATACCGTTTTGGAAAGAAAACAAAAGAAAAAAAAATTTGTCATTAGAGAATTCACATCTAAATCGCCAGAAGGGAAAGAAGACTAAAAGGAAGTCTAATATCCTACGCTCCTTATCCCCACTCGCAAAGTTACTCGGTGTGGTGAATCACTTGGCCCTTGAAAGGTAGGAACTCCTAAGTGATTCAGCCTTTCGATGGGAAGCAGTTGCGGCTGTGACCATCTGAGTTAACTGGCAGGCTTCGGCATTTGCAAAGCACTTGGTAAAGTTATGGCAATCTTAACAGACTTTTAAAAATCAAACATTTGAAATTCAAGTTATAATAAAGTCAAAGCTGAATAACACTAATGACTTCTATGATAACAGTCCCTTGGGAGAATATCAAGATTTGCCATCACTGTAAATTCCAGGGAGCATGTTGCTGGAGAAATGGGGAATTAAGACCGGGTATCTACAGAATACGGAGAGGGGCTCAGAGACACAGCGCCAGAGACCCCTAGCCCTCCATTTAACAGATAAGGAAACCAAGTCACTGAGCTAGTTGGTGATACAACTTGAAGTATTTGCAGCAAATACCCAGGAAGGAAGCCAATTTTTTTGTCACTAGATCCCTACTGTCCTCCTCCTTAGAGACAATCACAATTAGAAATTTTGTCGCAAGGCATCCCCAAATATCCCTACTGGTGGTTACGGGGGACTCATTCTACTGCAGTCATAGTGTCATTGCAGGACCATGTACCTTAGTCATCTGGAAGCAGCTTCCCAACGACCTGCACAATCCAGAGAGCATCATAAAGGCATTGCAACAATCAGAACAGGTTCAGAATTCGTGCACGAAACCCATGGAGAGGGCTCCCCATGTTTCCCCCGAGAACCTACATACTCTGAATAAACTTGGTCATCTCATTTCCCCCTCTGCAGTAATTAATTTTTTAATTTAATTTTTTTCAAGATTTTGTTTATTTATTTGAGAGAGAAAGCACAAGCCAGGGGGAGGGGCAGAGGGAGAGAGACAAGCAGACTCCCCACCATGCAGGAGGCCCAAATTGGGGCTTGATCCCAGGACCCTGAGCTCACGACCTGAGCTGAAAGCAAGAGTCGGACACTTAGCTGACTGAGCCACCTGGGCACCCCAAGAAGTTTAAAAAGTACAGCAGAACAGGGCCATTTGGTGAAGGGGCAAACAGCCCTGTATTCCCTCACAGAGCCAAAGTATACTCAACCATATCATCATTTATTTTTATAGTCATGACTCAATCAGTCAGAAAGCTCAGGGCTCTGGTTAATAGGTCAAAGGAGGTGTGACAAGTTCTCTATCAAACACAGTAAAAAAATGTGAAGCCTTTTTTAACATCAAAGGGGAGTGGATTCAGTCAGC